TGTGAATTGTTGCATGCCTATTAATTATAAAGTTATGACATTTTTTTTTCACTAAAATTAAAAAAGTAGGTATCATTTATTTAGACAGGGTTAACATTTTGGTACAAAATTGTTTTTAGACTAAACAAACAATTTAGATGAAACCTAAGTAAAAAAACCAACTTGAAAAATAGCGGACGCCCTAATATTCATGTATTCATGTAAAAAAAATAATTCCAGACCAGGCTTATGAATATTCATGGACAATTTGGAAAACTGAGAATCAGCGAAAACCGTAAAATTATAAAACATTTTAGCCGCACCAGCTCGAAAATTGTTCACCACTGTATTTAATTCGATGACAAAACTTAAACAACCACATAATTTACACACCCTTTACATAAATTTAATTTTTTTGAATGTTATAATTAAATTTATTTGCATTTTCTGGTAACCCAACCTAATTTAAGGCATGTAATCTTTTGCATAGTATTATTGAACGTCACGTACAAAATGCTTGTGGCACGCAAAATAACAATTATAATTTACATGGAAAACTTGTTTTTATTAACAAACACATCGCTATCATTTCGTAAATATGTACTTATTGTTAATATCTGTTATGTGCAAGTGTATTGTATTAATCACGTCATGGATTGATCGCTTTTTTATTAAATGAACACGGGGTGAAATTTCACGGCACTACCTTAAAAGTCAATCGTATAAACGATCGTTTTGGTTACTTTATATTATGTATACATAATTTTTTTCTGTTTAATATAATTTTTTATTTTTAAAGTCGTTTTGTTTTTAATATTAGGGTAACAGATTAGGTACTTTATATTATGTATAAATAAAAATTATGTATATGTATATATAGTATAGTTATAGGTATATGATGTATATATACTTTTTTATGTTCAATATAATTTTTTATTTTTAAAGTAAAGTTCATTTTTTTTATCTGGACTGCGGCAAAGTTGCAAATTTAGGGCTTTGGTTATAACTATAGTAAAAACAGTTTTCAAGTTGGTCGCATTGATTAAAACAAACTAAGCTAGTTATAAATCTAATTGTGGTTATGTATAAATTATTGTAGGTTACATTGTGCAGTTGTCAAGTTGAGTTGTCGAAATTCGTAGTTAAAAATGCAATTAATTTGGCTTTGGTGGTGCTTGGATGAGTAAAATCATATAAAAAAGTAGTTAAATATAGGTTGCTTTACTGCCCAGAAGAGAAAGTATTCCTAGCTAGAGTTACCGCGAGACGAGACGAGACGAGATAAGGCCTTGTCTCGTCTCGTCTCGAAATTTCGAGATAACATTTTTCGAGACGAGACGAGACAAGTTCGAGACGAGACGAGACAAGGCCTTATCTCGTCTCGTCTCGTTTTGTCTCGTTTGTCTCGAATTGTTTTGGTTTTTTGGTTTATCTCAATTTAATTTTGAATTATCGGATAAATTCAATAAAAATGTCTTACTCAAAAAACAAAAAAGATATAAGCTCTTAAAAGTGTGATAAACTAAAATGATAACGCAGTTATTCGCCTCACTCTTAATAGATCCACGTCACAAATTGGAAACCTTTTTAATGACTTTCTGTGGTGCAGAAATGAAAAATAAATCATACCAAAAATTTGAAACAATTTATTGTAAAAATACGCACCGACTAGGCCAATTCCACCTATAAAAGAAACTGAAGAAAAATCTGGTTCAGATGAAGATATGGATATTGAATTTTTATTCAAAAAGGCTACTCCTCAATCCGAAACTGAAGCGTTTTGAAAACAAGAACTAAATGCATACTTTTATTCAGAGAGAGCATCAAAAGGGGAAATATTGTTGGAATGGTGGAAAAGAAGAAGAGACCTATTAAGTATTACCGCAACAAGCGTTCCTTCAGAACGCCTTTTTTCAAAAGCTGGATTAGTAGTCACTGAACTTCGGAATCGACCTAATGCTGAGTCGGCTCGTTCATTATTATGTCTTAATTCATGGTACACTTGTAGGTACGTTAAAAGATAAGCTAAACTTTGATTAGTGAAACTTACCTATTCCTATACTTACCCCATGCTGTAATACCAAAATATTTTTTAATGATTTAGGATGTGTGTGAAAGCTCTTAAAACGTAAAAGTTTAAAGATTAAAACCAACAATAATTTTTAAAAAGTGCAAACTAATAAAGTGAAACAAACAATTTTCATAGAGTGCAAACTAAAATGGTGTAACGGTCATTGAGGAGTGAAGTGTTAAGTGATATGAATGAGTTAAGTGCCACCTGTCATTGGACGCTTTTCACTGGACAAACAAAGGAGGTCAAACAAGAGGGGCGGTGGCCATCCGCAAAAAAAATTGATAAGTTACCTTAAGAATATGCATGACCTAATACAAAATCTGCAATTTAAATACGGCATATATCTTTAGGGCAATAAATCTGTCAACAACAAATGCGTAATGCAATCCCAAACGAAACCGAAAATAAACACTAGACTCACAGAATAAACTAACACATTAATCATCATAACTCTAACAGTAAAAAAAAGCCTAATAACCAAACTCTACTAGATTTGTAAACATTAGATAACAGAATAATTGCGCTTGTCATTTGTTTAACTAATAAATAAATGCAAAACTTAATTTTGGAATTTAAGAAAAAAAGACAAAACTCTACCACAAAACGTGCTTGGGACAAAATTTATTAAAAACAACTGACACACTTTACCAAGTGCAGGAACTATTGACCAGGATACGGACAATGACAATAACGAACAAGACAAAGACCTCGACTAGGAAACTACACCCCTGCAGCGAAATAACAACTCCCCAACTCCAAATAGTAATCCCAAATGTTTGGAGTAATACTAATCGACTGGTCTAGGGGGATTCCGCGTCGTACTTAGTTTTAAGTCGGCGTAATTGTCCCCCAAAAACCAACACCCTCCCGTCCCTCCTCCTATACCTTATTGGGTGTATAGCATCGGCTCGGCGAACCCGAGAATGGCTATTAAAACTATTTGCATCTCGCTCTCGAGCCCCAAATAGGGGACAGTACGGAACGCAATGGACATTCGCACCCAGCAAACACGGGTGAAGCCGTGAAGTTGCTGGGGGCGAACAAAAATCGGCGTAAGTAAACATAGGCCTGTACGGGGTCCGAGAGTGATGATGAAATGGGGCTGGTTATACGTCTCTTATACTCATATACTCATACTCATACTTACCTATTACCCTGTAATGTGATATTCGTACTAACAATGTTAATGATATATTGAATATTTATTTTCAGTTTAGAGTTTATTGATTTATTTTGTTTATTATAAAATACATTTATTTGGTTTATTTTTTACTGTTTATTCTCTATAAGGTATGTATGTATGTCCTCGAAAACACCATGCAGTTTTTGAATAAAGGTTTTATATTTTATTACAAGTTTTATTTTAACAATTTATATGCACGAATTACAAGCTCATACCCTATAATGCTGTTTTTTGCTAATTCTGAAGTTAAAAACAATTATTAAAACTTAAATGCTGTTATTATCATTCGTTTAAAGCGTAATAAGTCATTAAAATATTCCGAATATGTCTCGAATATGTCTCGTCTCGTCTCGTCTCGCCTTGTCTCGAAGGATGTTATCTCGTCTCGTCTCGTCTCGAAATTCGAGACAAAATGCTCTCGAGACGAGACAAAATGGCTTCGAGACGAGACGAGACGAGACGTCTCGTGTCTCGTGTCTCGCGGCACCTCTATTCCTAGCGGATAATAATCTTCGCTTTGAAAAAAATTTATATATTAGAAATTAAAATTTTTTGTGAACGTAAATCTTAGAGACCAACGTTCAATGTTAGTGGACGTTGTGTTGAGATTTTTTTCCTTATCAGTCGTTATCAATAAGGAAAACTTGCTTAATCGGTGCTTAATCAGTGCTTAGCGACGCGTTGTGCATAACTACCCTTTTTATTGTTATCCTTAGCCGTTAATTCGCAAGCGATTTTTAATTTTAAAAAATCAGTGGTTTACCCCTCGGATATGGGTATGTTTTTAAATAAAAATACATACATAAATATCTTTTATACAATTTATTATCTTTTATTTTTTGTTACACACATTAATTTAAGAATATCGCATTTTTAAAATAACATTACCAAAAATTAGTTAATTCACACTTGCAGCTTCCAGTTAAATTTACTTCCAGTTATTTTAAGTTCTTAGTAAACGTTAGTTGCATATTGATAAACAGTTTAGCTACCACTTTAATTTTATTTACCTGTTAAGACACTTATCTGGACATTGATAAACCGGCCCTGAAGAAAGCAACTTAAACGAAAGGGCCTGTTGGTATATTTTTTCCAAAGAAAATGCCGACTTTCTGGACAAATTATACCTACGTAATTTATTTACCAATCTCATAATACGTCGCGACGCGTCGGTAAGTTCATTACTTACCGACGTGTTATTTCTAGCAACCAGTAAACGCAACCTACCGATCTATAATTATAATGGTCGTACAAAAATCATTTTCGCCATAATGTCTATGGGGACGTTGTTATTTCAACTTAAATAAAGTCCATAGGGGAAACTGTGCAAATAAATCGAAAAGAATATAATAATTCTCAAAAATTAGAAAAAATATTTAATCTCTGATTTTTAGGTTTAAATTTAGTAAAACTAAATTTTTGTTAAACTGTCGGGTCCATATTTTTGATCAATTGAGCGAGTTTGATTTTTTTTTAATTATATTAATATAAACGTTTGGGAAAGTATACTTATAAAATATATTTTTATAGAAATAAATTTATCCATTGATGGATCCGCAGATGTAAATCATGTTGCAAATACTCTTTAGAACTGGACCTTTAATTTTTGTTAAAATAAATTTCGTATTTCTTTTCTAAATTTATTTTTTTGGTTGGACTATCATGAGTGGTTTGTCGTGTAAACCCAATTTTTCAAGTATCAAGTATAATAATATTATTTGTATAAATACATTTAACAATATATTTTATAGAAAGCAAACTTACTTCAATAAGCCTGGTAAGTTCGAAATCTTGTAGCTGACTTTGGAACCCCAGGTTGGGATTAGCGACCGCTCGTCCGGCCCTAACGACTTTCAAAGCTTCCTTCCAATTTAGGTTCGTCACCGACATGATATAAGCCACAGCCACTGTTACGCTTCTAGACATGCCAGCTAAGCTGCAAAAAAAAACAAGAAAACCTTTATTGTAGATTTTATTCGAGGTATTAAAGTCCTTTAAGACGGTTAGGTCACAAACTATAAAGTAGTACAAATATGAATTTAATCAAATGTGGGTATACTTTTCCCATTTTATATGATATAGGTAGGTACATATGTGCTACATATATTTTAAATATATGGAGATATTTCCTTGTAAAATATATTTCAATAATGGTTGAGATTTACTTGTGGTTTTTCCTTTACAGACTCTTTACCTAATGACTTATACATACCCAGATTATAAATAAAACTTAATTTCACGAATAAAGCAATACATTTTAGTTTAACGAAGTTTACTATGTCCATCATTGTAGTATTTTTCCGAATTTAGCAATGCTTAAAAATATGTTTAAAAGGTGTTTCTATAGAAACATGTATACAATGTATGTCATGCTCCCATTTAATTAATACATTTATTTCGGTTTTTGTAAATTTTGGTTTGTTACCTGTTGCATATACACTGCGCGTCAAAATTAGTAAAGTAATAAGTAAAAAATGTAAAACGCCTTTACCAATCTTTATGCAATTTTGTATAAAAATACTTCAACTTATATTTTTAATAATAACCACTCTAATGCTACCTTTAAAAGTAATTGTTATTTATTACAAATACCTTACATTGTAAATTTTATGTAACATATTTTTTGTATGTATTTTCTATGGTTTAAGCGGTAGACCAGCTATAATAATATATTATGTATCAAGTTTTATAAACGCCATTTTATACACGAATTTAATTTAGGCACGAGCAAGCTTGCGAGCTAGTTCTTAAATTAATGAGTGTATAGAAAAGTTTATAAACGAGGTGCATACTATACTTTTTCTACGACAAATACTTATTATTATCTTAAAATGATTTAAATCAAAAATTTGTATAGAGCGCCATCTATGAAACAGTACACTCAGAAATTTTTTTAATAAATATAACAAAAAAAGTAGTTTGTCTTAATAAAGTAAAGATCCCTATTCGTCCAACAATTGCTTTTGTTACGGCAAAAAGATCATTTTTATAAAAATTATTTATCTACCAACGCTGCTTTCAGTAATAGCATTTGTATTAATTATAAAGTAAATTTACGTTATGTTTATAAAAATAACACTCTTCCAGATGCAGAAACGCATTGATAAATATAGTTATTATTATTTGTCCAAAAAACAGTTCTATACCGTTTACAAAAACGTTTTGTAGAATTAATGAAACCCTAATGTTATTATTCATAGAAATATTGTAAATTTTACAAATCCCTTTTCGTTTAAAATAAAACTTTTTTTATTATATTAATAAAATTTATGTAAATTTAACAACAAATTAATTGTTAATTCAATAAACTATTTTCATTGTAACAATGGTCAAATTTTCAACCTACTGTTGGGTGTTGGGTAGTTTTTTTTTTAAATAATTGCAAGGCATTAAAACAAATTATTTATTATAACAAAAAAATTAACTCATATTATATGATGTACAAAATAAAAAAAATACGAACTCACTTTTTAAACAACAAGTCTGCTTCGTTTATAGAATATACCTTAAATATTTCTGTTACAAAACGTCGGAATTTTAATTTTCTTAGTGATCTTTTTGATATTTTTATCATGCTAGATTTTACAACACTTCACTTGCACAAGTGAAATCAATAAGATTATAAGACAGACTGGATTATAAGTTATGTTCACCAAGGAGAGCGCTGGCCCTTTCCCCTTCTTTTTAAGGGAAATAACAAAAATTTTGTTACCATTGCAAAACAATAGTAAATACTCGAGTAAATATTTAAAAAGTCTTTTTATAACAATAAAATATTTTTGTTATTTTTCTTAACATAAGCTATTAACAAAGATTTTCTAACTGAAATAAAATTAATTTGAATTACAACGATAGTAATTTAAAAAAGACAAATATGCCATAGTAAAATGAACAAATTTTACTATAGCAACTGCACATTACTTTATGTTAGCGCAATTCAAACATAAAGCATTTCTTATTGCCATGACAATATGATAACAACTATTACTTTGTTGGATGAAATTTTTTTTTGTAGAAGCTCAACATTGCTGCTTCATATAGTAAATAAGAAATTTATTAAGAGTAAAAAAAGTTTATTCTGTAAATAAAAATAATCTTATTACTTTGACAAATCGTAGGTTTTTGTCCCAATAAGACAATGAAAATTTAATAAAAAAGGTTCCTTAGATGGTACATTTTTTTATAGCCATTACAATTTTAAATTTAAGTTAAATAATAATATTTTATTAATCGCTTACAAAATTAGTTTTATTATCAGTGCATGTACATTTTTCTGAGTGTAGGGGAATCTGTGTTTCACCATCAAATGTTTATTTTATAAACACAGATTATAAAGGTTATAAATCGAAATGTATTTCTTGAAAATTGACAGTTTTTCACAGTAAAAGTAAAGAAAATGTTTTATGAGCACTTTACAGTGGAGCGTGTCCGAATTTAAGTTATAGTTTACTGCCGGCGAAATTAAAAGGTCAGTACAATGTTCATATAAACTTTTCAAATATTGGCGTTGAGAAACTATTTAATACTTTTGTATTTTTCTATTGAGATAATAAAATAATTTTCACATTTAGTATTATTTTACAAGAAAGGCAATTTATTTTAACGATTGTATGACATTTGACAACTGTCAACTAACTTAAAACTAACTTCAGCCCGTGACTAAAGCACCATAAAGCCACAACTTGTCAATGTGTATTTAAAAGGTCAATTAGTTTCATGGAAACATGTACGATAAAGGGCATTTTAAAGGTGGGAGTAGAAAAAGTTTAGTATTATTATTATTATATCTCAGTTTACGTGTCCGAGGGTTTTTCGAGAAAATATTTTTAAATTTAATAATACAAAATTTTGAACAAATCAAACGAACGGTAACAAAGATGCAGCGCTTCAAAGTCGGTAAAAATGACCCGCGGGTCAAAAACGTTTTTGATTATTTTGCTAAAAAGTGGTCATTTTTGACGACTTTGAAGCGCTGTATTTTCGTTACTGTTCGTTTAATTTGTACAACATTTTCAAGGTGTACCGTAAAATGGGGTGAATGGGAACACTTTTTGACATTTGATCAATCACAGCGGCCGTATAGTAATTTTTTTAAAGACCGTTTTGGGCCTAAAAGTCCTATGGGGTCGTGGGCTACCTATAACCAAAATTTGAAAATAATAGATTTTTCCAAAATATATATTTTTTATTTTAATGTGCTTTGTTCCTATTGCCCCGGTATCAGTCGATATAGGAACACCAATGTTATTTTCCCTTGTATGCCGATTTAACGCGTTAAAGGTGTGATAGGAACACAATATATTTTTTTTAAAAGCGGCGAAAAATTTATATAATGTGATTCAGACCTTGGGTGGGAAGAAAAAGACCAATATAGGTATAACTTAAAAATGTTTTCTTTTATTATTTATAAAACGTATAAAATATATAAAAATAAATAAAATACATATTCTAAAAATCAACATAATAAAAAAAAAAACCTTTAAAAGTGTCTAAATTTCAAAATTTTCCCTGTTCCGATTCACCCAAATGCGGTTCAATTTTGCGCATTTTGAATTTATAAAATTATTAGGAAGAAGTGAAACACATTTTCAACAATTTGACTTTTTTATATTTTAAATGAATAACTAAGACAACAATCACGAAAGTTTCAGTTTATTTCACTAACCCCTTTTACGTTTTCCAGATGAAGCTTTTCAGAGCACCCATACGATAACAAAACTTGCTCACAATTTGAGGTTAGCCCATAATGACAGCTACACTGTTACCAATTTTTCAATGCTACCAACTAGCAAACACAACATTCCTGTACATGAAAACCCACAAAAGTTTTTGATTTGTCAATTTAAATTAACGTAAGACATGTTTGAAAACTTTTTCCCACTTTTGTCCCGATTTCCCCTTTAGTTCCCATTCACCCCATTTTACGGTACTAACAAAAATACGGTCTTTCTCAATATATTTTTTATTTACTTAAAAAAAATTCCCTATACAAATTTTTTTCGAGCGTTTTTTATTATTAAATAAAAGGACTTATTTTCTAGCAAAACCCTTGAACAAGTAAACTGAGATATAAGTTAAAGTATTTTTATCCAAAATTTTATAAAGATTGGTTAAGGCGTTTTAGGGGTGGATTTTTTTACCTGTTATGCGTTAATTTTGACGCGAAGTGTATATATTCAATTATGGGTACAAACTGAATTAATATTTGCAAAAATGGCGAATGCTCCTGGACAACTAATTTAGGTTTTGTTCTATAACATTCACCAGAGAACATTTAAACACAAACATTTATTTATAAATAACTTATTTAAATTTTTTTCACGATCTAATATTTAATTCTATATATGGACTTTAGAAAAATTAAATAGCCTATAGGTTTCACCATGTAAATTTCAATTTCAATTTTTTTTCACGATCTAATATTTAATTCCATATATGGACTTTAGAAAAATTAAATAGCCTGTAGGTTTCACCATGTAAATTTCAAATTATTTGTTTCAGTGGTTTCTGCATGATGAATTTTAGAAAAATAACAAAAAAAATAATTTTAAAAAACCACTTCGTGGACCCCTTGATATTATAATTTAATAACATTCAACACCCATTTCATTTCTTAACTTTAACCGGTGGGCGAAATAGTACTTCGCCCTTGGGCTTGAGTTAGCCTTAAGATAAAATTGGAAAAAAGTTAGGTTAAAATTTCCAGACAGCTGTCAGATGTCAAATAAAATTGGCTTTAAAGTCTTTGTGGTACACAGGTGTCTAAGTAAAAATTGGTTTAACAAAAATGTCACCAAAAACTGTTAGGGGGCCTTGTAACAGAAATACTGGGGATCATATGGGACATATATTCGATTTAACATGTTATTTATAAATGTAGACATAAATCGGTTATTTTCGGCCATAAAAGGATGGTAGATTTCTTGTTATCAAGTGATCTGGGTCATTTGACAGTCTGTCAAACTGTGTTTAAATGGCAACGGCTACAATAATAATTATAATAATATAGTTTATTGCCCAACAAAAGAAAGATGTTTACAAAAAAAATATTTAAAAAAATGTGAACAAACTTATACCTAAACTTTAAAGCCTACACAAGGAGCCCAAACTTAATAGGGGAAATTGTCAAAACCTGCCCTCTAAATTGCAGTCTTTTTTTCACCACCAGCGGCGCTGATTGTCGATGCGTACTGACGCTTGCTCTTTTAGTAGGGTTTCGGTACAAATTAAACATTTGTTTAAATTACTTCCAGTTCTCCAATTTATTCCAAAGAAGTATATGTTGATTTTTACATGGACCATCATATGATATATAAAACCTAGAAAAGTGCTTTAAAAAATATCGATTATTTATTATTTTTGGGTTTCCCGTAATTTTTAAATTTAAAAATAACAATATTTTGTATACTTTATAAAGAAAAAGTATAATCAAATCGCCATTAATCACTAAAACAGGTTTGGCTTTCCATTAAAAAGTGGCACCTTTCTAGCATTTTCTAATCAATTTATCACTCTTTGTACTTCGCAACAAAAACCTAAATGCATAACACAATTTATTTTAATACATTAATTTAAAATCTTACTTACCAGTGAATTAAAACATTTCCATCTCTAAGTCTAGCAGCATGTATAAAGTCATTGCATAAAGAAAAATATTGCGTTAAATTTTGATCTGGAGTGTCTGCGGCCATGATGCAAAGGTAATGTTTGTCCTGCAACAATAAGAAAACCCAAATTTAGAAAAATGTATACGACCTGTTATGGTTACTTTTTGCTTAGGCGAATTACATCACTTTTATTGATCATAAAATACATAATTTATTGGAGAAGTACCTATTTTTTGGAATTACAAGTTTTCTTTTATGTACGATATTGCAATCTATGCGGTAATGCATCAGTAAACATGTTTAGTGATTATTGGAAAATCAGGTAGCAGGTGTTATCCCTATAATACTAAATATAGATAAAATAAATATATGCGGCATTTTTACGTCAAGCGGGCAACAATAAAAATGGTTGGATTACCTGAAATCATTTTTTTAAGCCTATAGGCCAAAATATATAACTGAAATGCTTGGCAAAACTTTACTAATAGACCAGAAGCCAGCAATGAAAATGAGAACTCATTTTAACAGTTGTAAAAATTAAGTTACTTAAACTTATATACCTGATGCGGCCGGGTTTAGCTACCACAAATTTACAAAAAGCACAGTGGGATAAATTTGCTAAAAAAACAGTGGTATCTGTTATCCTAGATTTAAAATTTAAATGTTGGAGTTTTGTGGGTTGCTGATAACGAATTTGAGGTATAATTTTCAAAAAACCAAACGGCGAATTCAAACAGGCGGACATGTTTCTCAAAACTCTTATTTTTTTTTACTAAAATTAATATACCATTGCCTTTAAATTCCTTGCGGTAGTTGAATCAAATATTGTGTTCGACTATTGGTAAAAAAAAAAATTCACTAGCGTGTGGTATACTCCATGCTCGAGGAATCTCCTCTTTCTCCCACTAGTCGCACAATACAGTCTGTATACGATAAAATAGTAAAGCTGTAGTGATAGAACCATAGTTGTCAGGTTGTTTTTTTAATCTTAAACAACAATTTTAATTATTTAATAAATAGTGGGTATTTGTTTTAAAACCTTAAAAATAATCAAGAATTAATAATATGTCAAAAATAATCGTATTTATGTACCGACACAGAGTTCATAGTTTAGTTAATTTTCTTACTTTTTAATAAAAAAACTCATTATTTACGTTGTTAGGCATCGGTGATTGGCCTAGGCTATTTCAATATTGAATTGTGAATTGGAAGAAAGTGAGGTTAACCAACTGACAGATGTCAGATTTTAACTATTTTTTTAAATCATTTCATTATCTACTAATGGCCATGGCCATGGCCATTAGTAGATAATGATAAGTGCACTTGCACCGTTTTAGTTAGTGTCCAAAATCTTGCACCGTGATTTTTTTACTATAGTTTAAAATTTAACTATTGATCTAAGGAATTTGAATAAAAAATGGAAAAGATTGGTTATAATAACGAACTTCACACTTATTTGTAACGCAAATATATTTTGACGTTAAGAGCTCGATTCTTTATCATCTGTGGTTCGATTCTATTTCATGTACGACCGATTCAGTTGATGGTAAGAGAATAATATGGATACAGAATCTGAAAAAAAAGGGGGCGCTCCTCAAATTTTTCAGAAAATGAAAAAAATCATTACATCAAGATTACATGTGGATACAAGGGTATCATTAAAAACAAAGAGACAGATAGGGCTGAAACAATTAGAGCAGGAAATTAACAATAAAAAGGATGTAAAAGAAATTACTCTTTCGGATTTAAAAATTTTAGAAGAAAAAGAAATACCTAATACACGTATTATAATAATAAACAAGAAGTGACTATTTATTTTATTTTAATTTTAAATAAGTATAAATTAAATAAAACATCAAAAATATTATTCAAATTAAATTTTATAAATTCGCAAAATAATCTTGTATTAATTGATTTTGAAACATAATGCGATCTTGTGGATGAGTAACAACAGCTGTACCCTAGGGTACTCCAGTTCATGGCATTAATATAATCGGGCAATGGCGGCTCTGGTTTATTCATGTCTCTAGCTATATTATGTAGTACAGGCTGTACTGTACAGCTGCAGCTGGAATAATGGACAAAACTGTATCTAGTTTTAATCTTTTTCTATGCTTAAGCCATATGCCAACACTGGAAACCTTCTTTTCCAAGTAGTGACTCATTATAGAGTTGCTGATCTCTATACCTATAACTATAGTTATCGGATTTGCTAAAGATGTAAATAAATAATATCTTTGAAAAAAAAGATCTTGAATATCGATGACAAGTACTTTTGAGGTTATAAATCGTTAACGGTGGATTAAAGTAATTTATGATGGAATTATGCAGCACAAATTAACTTTAACATTAAGATTAAGATTAATTTAACCAATAGGAGGGTATTTATGCTTAATGTTAATGTTAATGTGTTGCATAAATTCTTTCATTGTATTACATTCACCTTAACTTTTTAATGTTAATGTTAAGTTAATGTTAATTTGTGCTACATAATTTCACCATTAAACCCCCGAAATTGAGGGTTTATTTTAACAGTAGTTTAGAGGTATTTAAACAAGAATTAATTTAAGGTGCAAGCCATTTATGTATGAAAAATAAACCTGTGTTTAAAAATAAACCACTCTTAAACTTACGGTGCAAGTGGTCATAATTGGAGTAGATAAAGTATAGTATTACACTCGAGGTTATTCGAACTATCTCGTACAATAATATCCTATTATCTACTCCTACATTGACAATCTGTTTTAGTTCCAGGCTGAAGTTAACAATAGTGGCTGTTGAGCATGTTAGTTACAGGCTGAAAATAGCTTTATTTTAAATGGGGGAAAAGTAAGGTTAAATTCGTTGACAGTTGTCAGATATCAAATTGGCTTAAAATTCTTATTTGTATTTGTCGTAGATAAAGTATAGGTATGTAGTATGCAACTCGTTTCTAAACTTCTCTAAACACTTGTTTTTTTTAAATACTTGCTCGCAAGCTTCCCTCGTGCCTAATAAAACTCGTAACTAAAATGGCGTTTATAAAACTTGATACATAATATACTATAAAATCATGGTTTATAATAGTATTTATAAATTTATAAACAATTATCTTTATTAAAAATTACACTTAACTATTTTAGTATTTTTATAATTTGCGAGTGGAAAGTGGAACTTTTTCCCATGGGAGAAATAGTTATTTTTGTTAAATTTAAAGTACGCCGGAAAAGTTTAGAGCATCAGTTATGCCTAGGGTGTAATTTTTCTCTAAAGTGCAATACCAAATTTTATCCTAACTGTATTTAAACACATAAAAGTTTTAAAAATTTGATATCCTCACATAATGTACCTACATATGTAGGTATTATATAATATGTGTCTAAAATTGTTTACAGTTTTTATGATGTCTGTTTTATTGATAGGTATAATACAGGGTGTAAGTAACAGGTTTGGGAAAATTAAATGGTGGATTATTTAGTAAAAAATAATAGTTTTTCTTTACTTAAAAACAACGTTTATGTTACACCCTGTTTATTCGATCACAATTCTGAAATATAAAGTAAATAGAATACATAAATTAATATTTTTTTTATTTATAATAGTTATTTGTATATTATTATACGAAAGATATTGCAGGTTATTATTTAAGAGAATGAAGTTTGCGTCTCGAGCCGCTGGACGGGAGGCGCAAAACATATGGGTGAATAATGCGCAAAATCTCGAGTGTACACTGTTTAAAATATCTGCGGTGTTAATATAATATAAAAATGTTATATACAGCAAACACCAAAACGGTGTTTATCTAAAAATATTTGAGAAGTGCAAAGGCGGTGTGGATCACGTGATGTTCTTAAATCTCGCCTCTGTTGACTTACATGAAGAATATATAAGCTCAGGTAGTCCTTTGCTTTGGTGTGACACTACAAGTTGTTCGATACTAAAGAGACCTTAAATAGGTGGAAACAGCTGTCAATACTTGAAGTATTTTAAGTTAGTGGAACGCACTAAAAACATTATCTCTAGCGAGTTGAAGGTTCCATTTTCTGGAATAATACCACTGGTAATATACTAGTACTGCGTCAAGGAACTTCCTGTTTCCTTTTTTCTGTGTAGTATGATTTAATTTGACCACAAACACATAATATTTAACACTAAAAAGGAGTTCAATTTACACCAGGTAAAATTTATTTTAATACTGTGTGAAAGTTAAATTAACACTATTTTAGTATTTGAATTAACACCGAACCAACGAACCACATTTAACACCATTTTGGTTTATATCGATATAGACCATGTATGGTGTTAATTTGGTGTTAAAATGGTCATGAAATTTTGAACAGTGCAGGGGATATTACATAGTATATGCTATACTTTATTTACTCCACTTTGTAGGTAATTAAATGATTTTAAAAAATAAATAATTAAAATCTACCAATTTTAAATATTATTATAGTCGCCTTCTTCCAATTTTAAACCCGATTGGTTTAAATAACAGTAAATATTGAAATCGGCCAATCACTAATGCCTAACAACGTGATTAATGAGTTCATTATTTCCGTTGTTAGGCGGTTATAATGGTTATCATTAGTAGAATTATTATATTTTATGTACTACATTTGCAACGTAAATTTGTTGTGTCCACTAAACTAAACTAAATATTCCTATATTTATACGAGGTGTGTTAAAAAAATAACGGGAATTTATAAATTTCGCGGGTTTGGAGAGTCCGGTTGTCATAAAATTGTCTTTATTATGTTTTTATACATACCCCTAAAGAATGATAAATTTTTTAAATGTTTTCATTGTTTACTTTGTCTGTGGCAGCCGCTAAGGTTAGACGTGTTTTTATGAGCTCGGCGATTTTCGTTCGTTAAAAGAAATGGATCAAAGAATTTGTACAAAATTTTGCGTTACAAATGAAATAAAGTGTGTGAAATGTTAAGAAAGGCCTATGGTGAGTCTGCTATGAGTAAAACAAGAGTTTATAAGTCATATATGAGTTTCCAAGATGGCCGTAAAGACGTTGAAGATGACGAACGCCCCGGACGTCCAAGCACATTAACAACCGATAAAAACATGAAAAAAGTGGAAGAAATGGTCATAAACGATCACCGAATCACAATCAG